ACACCAACTTTTTTTGGATCAGCGGATTTAAGACCTTTTGAGATAAAATCAATAGCAACAGCTCGATTATCACTTGTTGATAAGAAGTTATTGAAAGACATCAGTCCACCTTGTTTGATTTTATTTTCAAAATCTTCCTTTGGCATTGTTTTACCTCGATAGACTGTTAATGTTTGTTGTGAGTCATCAGATGCCTCATTCAATTGCTTCTCATGCAGCTTGGTGATATTTTGGTGAAGATCGCGCATGAAGATTCCCACCCTGAGTAGGGTATCAACTTGCAAAATGCCCAAGGCTTTGTTGAGCATGGAGTACGTGAAACACTCACGTGTATACCACCAAATCGGCTTGTTTTTACCATCTGAATCATCACGATATTCTGTAGCGAATTCATCGATAATTTTCAATTGATTGTCGTCACCTTCATACTTCTTACGGACATACTGTGCTAGAGCTTGAATTTCTTTCTTTTGATCAAAGTTGATTTCAAGAATAATTTCTTTGAACAATTGTGTGTACATGAACGATGGTTCGATTTGATTCAATGACTCTATAGCACTAATTGTGACCGAATCTTCGTCACATTGTCGAGCCAACTGTCGGACTGAGTCACAAATTAAAGTGATTTCTGTGACAATACTCTTCACCTTGGGCCAATTTTTTGCCCATTCTTCGTATTTCGATGGTTGTCGACAAAATATAAATATTGCATAGAGTTGATTGAGTTGATGAATACGTGGTACAATACTTTGACATAGAGCACCGGAAATAATAACAAATGCTTTTTCATTTTGTATTTGTGTAATATAATTGATGCATTCATTATCATCGTCGAATGTTTCAATAGTGTTAACAGTTCGTCGCAAATATTTGATTGAATTGCGAAAGTCATCAGTAGACTCATCGATTTGCGCATCAAGCCATACCAGAAGGAAATTTTGAATAATTTCATTTGAATCAGGGTGCCGATTCCGTTTTGCAATGATCTTCGAATTTCTGTAAGGTATAGGTGATTGTGATGAAGGCGGTACAGTTGGTTTAGCGTCATTATGATGACTGAGAGAAGTTATTGTTGGAACCGATGCGTTGCAGCCCATACGATGCGTAGTGTTGAAAGTTAAGGGTTCCTAGTGATCAAACTGCAATTATGAACGACATCTATTTGACCAGAAAACTTCTTTATTTAAATAAAACTTTTGTTTGATGACTATTCTTTCGAAAGTATTATTGCCTATTCTTTTGATACTCAAGAACGCTGTGGGGCTTTAATAGCGATGCGTATGGTTGAAACGTAAGAGTTTGGAGACAAAAGACTCGCATCTTCATCCAAGCGGATCTTTTCTTCTGCTACACAATCAACCCTGCAACCACACTCCTTGTATGCACTGATGCCTCCTACTAAAAATATCACCATTACACGGAGAATAAAATTCTACATCCAATATAATACGACTACAGAGTCAAAAAACCTCAAGAAATAAGTCCAAGCAGTAAAAAAAAAGCATCCAATATGATGCTAACTTTACTTACATATTCGTACACTGAATAAATGAATATTTGTTCAAGGCAGAAAATGTATAGATATTTGTTTATAAACTCAGATAGAGATTGGTTCTTATTCTTTTGTTAACACTTGCATTGGTTGTCTGGTCTTCAGATAGTTTTTAGTTTGCTACTGAGAGTTTTTTATCTTGTTTTTTTTCTAAAGAAACCAAATAATGCGAGTCTGCATCGACATCTGGTAAAGAAAGAGAAACGTAAAATAATGAAACACGGATCGTTGTTACATGCGAAGCACTATATACCGATAAAATTTGGACGCCATTTTTTTATTATTGTTGCTATGTCTTTACCTCACATTGCGGCAGATACAGGTAGCTAGAGGCCGCACGCTTGAAGAACAAAATTATTCATTATCAGAGCATGGCTTTTATATTTCTCCAACCAGCCAATAATATATTGCAAAAATACTGTCACCACTTTTGATGACTAACTTGCTATGTTAATTGTTAATGTTGCATTATCGAAAGGAAATCAGTGAAAAAAGCAGAATCAGACAATTTCAATGATCTACAATGGATGATAGGTGATGGTAATCAGCATATAAAATATAAAATAATAAATCACTTCACTTAGTCACTAGAAGTCAATGTATTTGTTCATACAAGTGTTTGCTAAATTGGGTTGTTTCTACATTCCATGAGCATCAGATAAAATTAAAATAAATCTTACAATTTCTCTCTGTAGTAGCCACGTGAATAAATGGCAAAAATGAGGGATGAGATACTCAGAAAAATAAAAGTTACTCATTATGGAGGGTGTGGGTGTGGGTATTCCATTGTTCAATCACACCCACACTTGACTAGCAATTCGACATCAATACTTTCTGTAGAGGGTCTATACTTATAATCAAACTTCGCAAAAGAGCGAAGAGAAAAATATAGACTGACGTATGCGGTACAATTATGTCTGTGAACTTTTCTCGTTTCCTCAAAAACGACACAAAACGAAAACTACAGCGTTCTTCAATCGAAATCAACTTTTGATCATGGTTGCAAGCAGCTTCAGTGCTAATCATCACTAGCAATACAAAAATTATTGTAACACCCACTTAGATTGTGCAACAGACAAAACTCGAAAGGTGATGAAAAATATAAGGAGTGTTATTTAGAAATTTATTCAATTATTTTAATCATTCGTTAGCAAAACACAAGACCATACGATCCACACACGATGCATAGCAATATGAATCAACTCAAACACCGCCATATTCACCAACCCTTTTATCATATCCCACAGAACTTTTATGATTCAGCATTTCACGATGATTGAAACTAAAAATTCATTCATCAGCATTCCAAATTCCGAAAAACGAAAATTCACTAACAAATAAAAGATCAAGCACGAAAAAAAAGCAATACTGTTGAACAAAAATAACTACTATCATGTACAAAAACCCGCTATCCATGTAAAGTCATACTCATCCAATAAACAGACCCTCGGCATGCAAGATAATGAAACTATCTCACCACGATCAAGCAATGCTTCGGAATACACTTCATAGAGCTTCATTAAAATATACAATTGAAGGAGACATGAATAACCAATATTAACTGAACAAAATTTATAACGGGAGTGCTCCGATATTATCTGTATTCTAATTTCAAAATTGAAAATTTTTTGTAAATATTATTCTGACATTAACAAAAAATGATACTACAAAAGGAATTATTCGAAAATCATGAACCAAATGACTTCGAAGTTAATTATTTTTCACAGATTTTATAACAAGATCAACATAACATAATATCTAGCACAACATAATTCAAAAATCTTCTACCAATTACATTCGAAATCGGATATGCTTTATAAATTTTCTGATTACATCAACGTAAAACTACATTTAGCATACAATAATTCGAACAACTTGTAGGAATCCTTTGCGAAATTGAAAACTTATTATGTATTATAATAAAGTCAACCTAAAACGATACACAGTATCACATGATTGTAAAATCACGTAACTATCAAACTCCACATTGAATATTGTCTATAGATTTTACAATAACATCAATATGAAATCGCACTGAGCATGAAAGAATTCGGAAATCATGGTGCCATTGAACTCGAAATTGTGTATATTTAATAGATTTTATAATAACATGAAAATAGAATAATTCTCATCAGCATGAAACAACTAGAAAATCATGTAGTCCTTGATTTGGGAAGACAGAATTTTTTACAAACTTCATAACAACATCAATATCAAATGATACTCAGCATCAAAGAAATCGAAAATATTTTAGCAATTGAAAGCCAAATTGAATATTTTTCCTACAGTCTATTCTAATATGAACATAAAGCAACACTGACTATGTAATACTTCAAAGGTCATGTAGCAATTGTATTCGAAATTGAATATTATTTATAGATTTTATACTAACATCAACACAAAATGTGACTCAGCATAAAATCAGTCGAAAACTTTGTAGCCATTGAATTCGACAATTTTGTAGGAATCGTTTGTGGAATTAAATATATTTTTTCCAGATCTTATAATGACATCACCATCAAATGATGCTCAACATTGAATTATTCGAAAATCGTATAAGAATTGGATTCTAAATTGAATGTTTTGTGTAGATTTTATTACAAAATCGATATAAAATGATGCATAGGATGAAATAACTCGAGAGTCATGCAGCAATTGAATTCGAAATCGAATATAATGATCTGATTTTATAATCAGATCATTATAAAATCAAACTTATCACGAAATAGTTTGCAAATCATATAGCAATGGAATCCAAAATCCACTACTTTTTCAAATGTCTACTGGTGACGTTGATATGAAATAAATCTCACAATGAAATTATATGACAATCATGTAGTAATGAATTTGAAATCGAATATTTCTGCTTGCTTCTTGAACAAAGTGAATATAAAATGATACTCACCATAAATTAGTTAGAAAATGATGTACCAATTGAATCTGAAATGGAATACTTTTTAAAGATCTTTTAATCAGATCAGTATAAAATGAAATTATTATGACATAATTGAAATATTATATAATAATTCCACTTCAAGTGTTAAATCTATCTTCTAGATTTCATTATAAGATCAACATAAAATGATAGTTAGCATGAAATAATTGATTCGAAAATCATGCAGCACCTGGATTCGATATTGAAAATTCTTTCTTGACTTTAAAAACACATCAACATATAGGGTGTCCAGTAAGTAACTCCACAAGGGAAATTTTGAATATCTTCATTATATCTCACTCAAATGAACTGATTTTTTTCTTGATAAAAGAAGATAGTCTAAGCTCCATTTATACGGGCTTGGTCTATTTATACACATATGTGAAGAGGGAAAATCTGTTTAGTTGTCATTAAGCAACTCACAAACATTTTTTACTCTTGGCTACAAATTAATATTGTAAGATATTCTTTTATTTATATCAAGCGGCATAGCTGATATACAATGTGACAACACTAGTACGAAAGAAAATGTCCTTCACGGTGTAAACAATCACGCAAACGTTGCATAACAGAGCGACATGCTTTGCGACACATTTCTTCTGTCACTTGTTCACAGGCTTCTTCAATACTTTGTTGAAGTTCCATAAGTGTAGCAGGTGGCTTTTTAAACACGATATCTTTTAAATAGCCCCAAAGAAAGAAATCACATGGAGTTAAATCTGGCGAACGCGCTGGCCAGTCGAATGGACCACGTCTGCCAATCCAATGATCAGAAAAATTCTCATCAAGCCATTCTCGAACAGCAATAGCATAATGAGCTCCAGCACCATCATGTTGAAAGTAAAACTTTTTACGTTTCAATTTGGGCCATACATATTCGACCAGCATCTCTTTGTATAGTGAACCGGTAACAGTATCATCAAAAACATATGGACCAACAAGACCATTGGAACTCATTCCACACCACACTGTAATCCCTTGTTTTGTATTTGATACCTCAAATTTGAAATGCGGATTTTCTCGAGACCAGTACGTGCAATTGTGTCGATTAACTGTTGTGTTCATACTGAATTTAGCCTCGTCGCTCCAAAATATACGATCAATTAAACCTGGATCATTCTCGAATTTGTCAAGCCATATTTCGCAAAATTCGCTGCGGCGATCGAAATCATCTTCATTAAGGTCCACTATTAAAGTTGGATGATAAGGTCTAAAGTTAAGTTGCGTCATAGCTATTTGGTAACTGCTTTTACTTATACCAGCTCGAGCAGCGCCTTCTCGAATAGACAATCGTGGATTATCATTGACCATTTCTTCTATTTCTTCCAGTTTTTCTTCTGAGAGTATACTTACTGGTCGACCACTGCGTGGTAAATCTTCAACTGTTCCAGTTTCATCAAACTTCCGGTTGGTTGATAAAACTGTGTGTGTATCCGGTGGACTTGTATCAAAATGATACTGCCACTGCCTGTGAACCTCGTGTGCATTATCAAACTTAGAAAAAAGTCGCACTATTGCAACTTTTTCTTCAGTCGTACGACGTGTAGACATATGCAAGAATCGTAAATGAAAGGAATGAATGTTATTCAGTATGTTATTCCCAGTGCATTATCATTTATATCACTATAGTGTTTTTTTCCTTTCTTTTGTTCGTCTTAAAATCCACGTGCTTTTTCTCACACATGTGTATCTTTTGTGTACGTGTGTCAGTTTGATTATTGCATGTTTGAAAAGGGGAAAAGAAAAGAAGATAAAGCTTATAGTCAGAAAGTGAGATTCCAATATCTGAGCTATATATTGAAGGTTAATAAATCATCACTAAATAAACCGTCCACTAATATATTAAGCAGAGGTTTTCTCTCTTCACATATGTGTATAAATAGACCAAGCCCGTATAAATGGAGCTTAGATTATCTTCTTTTATCAAGAAAAAAATCAGTTCATTTGAGTGAGATATAATGAAGATATTCAAAATTTCCCTTGTAGAGCTACTTACTGGACACCCTATATAATGATACTCATGATCAAATAATTCAAAGATCGTGTATCATTCGGATTCAAAATAGTGTATTTTTTCTTGATCATATAATAACATCAACAAAAAATGATTTTCATTATGAAAAGATTTGAAAGTCGTGTAGTAATAGAGTTTGCGATCGAATACTTCTCATAGACTGTATAATAATATCAGCGTGAAATGCTATTCATAATGAAATATTCCGAAATTCATGTAGCAATTTTATTGAATATTGGATATCTTTGATAGATTTTATAAAAAACATTGCAATAAAACGATGCTCAGAACGAAACAATTCTAGAAACATGTAGAAATCGATTTCGAAATTTCATATTTTTTTATAAGTATTATAATAACATCAACACAAGACGATAATCGTTATCAAATAATTTAAAAATCATCTGGCAATTGATATCTAAATCGAATATTTTTTATTGATTTTATAATAACAGCAATAGTAAATGATAGTTACTATGAGAAAACTCGGAAATAATCTAGCAGTGGAATTCGGCATTGAATATTTTTGATAGGTTTTATAATAGAATCAGCATAAAATGACACTCAGTATGAAATCATTCGAAAATCATCCGACAAATCAAGTGGATATTGAATATTTTTTATAGTTTTCATAGTAGCATCAAGATAGAATGATAGTCATCACGAAATTATTCGAAAACCATGTTACAATTGAAATCGGCATTGGATATTATTTTCTGGATTTTCAAATGAAATGAGCATAAAATCATATGAGCAAGAAATAATGCGAATATAAAATCGCAATTCATTTCCAAATCATATAATTTTTTATAGTTTTTTCAATAACATATAGATAAAATGACATGCAGCATGAGTTCATCCGGAAAATCTGTCATAGTTGAATTTCGAAATTGAATATTTTCTTTATAGCTATTATGATAGGATGACAATAAAATGAAACTTATCATGAAATAATTCGGAAATGATCTAGCACTGACATTCGAAGTTCAATAATTTTTATAGATTTTGTAAAACATCAACATAAAATGACGCTCAGCATGAAATAATTCAGAGAACATATAACAGTTGATTTCGAAATTGAATATTTTTTATAGATTTTATATTAACGTCAACATTGAATGTTACTCAACGTGTAATATATGGAAAGCATGTAGAAATTGATGTGGGCATTAGATTTTGTTATAGTATTTTTAATGACATGAATATAAAATGATTCTCAGCGTGAAGCCATTTGAAAATCAGATACGAATTGAATTTGAAATTGAATATATTTTTCGGGTTTTCTAAGAACGCTAACAGAGAATTGTGTTCATTATGAATTAATTCGAAAATTATATAGCAAATAAATTCGAAAATAATTATTTGTTTTAGATTTTATATGAACATAAACATAAAATGACAGCTATCATGAATTAGTTGGAAAATCATGTAGCAATTGAATTCGAAATTGAATATTTTTTATGAATTTTGTAAGAATATTGTCTGAAAATGATGCTGAAGATAAAATAATTCGAGCATCAAGTATGACTTGAATTGGAGATTGATTTTTTTTATAGATTTTATAATAGCATGAACATAAATTGAAACTCATAATGAAATAATTCGAATATCTTGTAGGAAATGAATATCGGATTCGATTTTTTGTATAGATTTCATAAAAATATCAACATAAAATCATACTGACTATGAAGTAATACGAAAATCATGTAGCAATCGAAATGGAAATTGAATATTTTGTTAAAGATTATATAAAAACACTACGATAAAATGATACTGATCATGCGATTATTCGAAAATCATGTACGAATCGTATTGAAAATTTAAAGATATTTTGTTAGATTTGGGAGTAACATGAAAATAAAATGGTAGTGACGATTCAATGATACGGAAATGATGTAGCAATGGAGTTCGACAGTCAATTTTTTTATGCATTTTTATAATAACAAGAAAATGGGAAAATTTCTAGCATCGATGTCGGTTTTTTGTGTTTCTACATAGAAAATTCAACGGTGAGATGATGCATGGTTTGGGTGTGGGTGTTTAAGGAGCGGGTGTCGGTGAAGAGCAAAGCAACTGACCTCTACACTCACACCCACATCCACACCCTAAAATAAATGATTCCATTTGTTCAACCTTAGAATGTAATAAGAGAACCATCCCATATGTTTCATTACGATCAAACTGCGATCGCACTGTGACCCGTAATTGCGAAAAATTGCGATGCAGTCGTCGAAAAAGTGGCGACATGGGATTTGCAATGTATCTTGAACTATAGATCTCAAGTCCCTCTATCTAAATCAAAGGTCAACATCAAAATTTCACTTAGATGGCTGGTCATTTTCATGCAATCTTTTACAAGTTTTTCGAAGATGATTAGTTTTAAAAGGATTTCGTCTTTGACTTGGTCGGGGAAAAAGATATCCCGACTTGCCCTCTTTTAATTGGTGAAAACCGCAGATCGCTAACTATTTTCATTTTTCGAGATATTGCGCTTAGACCTACCCCTCTTTCATTCTGGCGCGGACATTAGATACAGTTTTACATAAGACATTTAAGGTGCCGCTAATGCAAAAATCGAGCAGAAAATTAATTTAGTTAAGTTGTATATCAATTGATAGAGCTTTTGATGCTGATTAAGAATATGCAGTTTTTAATTTTCTAGGCCTCGTCTGAGCCAAGAAATTTACGAAATACAAAAAAATTTAGAAAAAGCAAAAAAACAGGTTTTTTTTAGAAATTTTAAAGTTACTCTATCTTACATTAGGTTTTTCTCGTTAAAACTATTTTTATTTAAATCGAGCATATAAAACTGTCGTATTTAGGTAAGTTTGATGACATTTGATCAATGTGGTCCAATTTGACTTGTTTAACAAGACCCATCTTTGACTGAGCCGACACCTTCACATTGTTAACCTATCTCCTTTTTTACTACAATAGCTAAAACAATTTTTTATATAGCATTCGAACCATCAGATCGATTAGAAAAAAGTTACATATGCTCTTAAATTAGCTCCTTGGCATTGCTGAGAAAATTCACTTTTCCCACCTGGATGGCTAAATGAGAAAAAATTTGTGGTGCACTTCAAAATTTTGCCTGCAAAAGCTTTATTTTTCGATCGGTTGGATACGATATTCGGAATCAGTATAAAAAACTGCATCGAATAGCCTATATTTTCTCCATTCTCTCAAAACAAAATTTACCATCAAAATTTGACCTGTACTCCTCCTCAAGGCAAAATCGAGTGAAAAAACGCTGAGGGGAAGTACTGGTCAAATTTTGATGGTAAATTTTGTTTTCACAGAATGGAGAAAACATAGACTATTTGATGCAGCTTTTTATGCTGATCCCGAATATCGTATCCAACCGATCGAAAAATAAAGCTTATGCAGGCAAAATTTTAAAGTGCACCCCAAATTTTTGGTCATTTAGCTATCCAGGCGGGAAAAGTGAATTTTCTCAGTAATGCAAAGGAGCTAATTTAAGAGCATATGTAACTTTTTTCTTATCGATCTGATGGTTTGAATGCTGTATAAAAAATTGTTTTAGCTATTGTAGTAAAACAGGAGATAGGTTAACAATGTGAAGGTGTCGGCTCAGTCAAAGATGGGTCTTGTTAAACAAGTCAAATTGGACTACATTGATCAAATGTCATCAAGCTCGCCTAAATACCACAGTTTTATATGCTCAATTTAAATAAAATAGTTTTATCGAAAAAAAACTAATGCAAAATAGAGTAATCTTCAAATTTCTAAAAAAAACCTGTTTTTTTGCTTTTTCTAAATTTTTTTGTATTTCATAATTTTCTTGGCTCCTGTGAGGACTAGGATATTAAAAGCTATATATTCTTAACCAGCATCAAAAACTATATCGATTGATGTACAACTTAACTAAATTCATTTTCTGCTCGATTTTTGCATTAGCGGCACCTTATAAAAAAAAAAACTTATCAATTTCGGGGGTTTGATAGACATTCATATCTCATCACCAGCTTATGCTAGAGAATCGAATTTTGGGCCATAGAAAGATCTCATTAAGTAACTACTATGGTCTAAAATTCAGTTCTCTAGCTAGTTTCCGTGTTGAAGGAGGCCTCTCACAAAAGCAAGATTTTAAGAAAAACCTGGATTTTTGGAAAGACTTGTGTTCTAACATAATGCTCAAATGGAAGCCGAATTAGTATGATTCCAGAATACACATTGAGTACTACAAGTTTACTCAGGGCTTTACCTGAGATCTCTGAGAAGTGTTGGAAGCCCTATCGAAATATACCAAAATTTGAACCTTTTTTCATAGGGTATACTCGACTTTGGCTCAAAAGCAATACAACATTTTCATCATATGCAAGAAGTTCTATCTAGTATCAGTTATCACTTGATTCTCTACCAGTCGCCATAAAAACATCTTTCGAAAAGAACAAACAAGCTTTTTTAACAATTATCTAAACTCGCTCCCAAGTTTTTGATGGAAAATAAATTTCAAGAAATCTCCGTGTCACATACAGAAAATTTTGAACATTATTTTCTTTCTCATTTTCGAAAGATATTTTTACGGAGGTTCGTAAACGATCAAGTGCTGAATTACGCTGGGTGGGATTTATTTCATATGATAAAAATTTTCTATTAATTTCGAACCTAACTACAGTATACTTCTTGTGGGAGAAGGTTACTTTTACAATGTGTGACGATAATGCACTAAGAAAAATTTCAACATCTCGTAAAAACAATAATATGTTTTCAAACGATTTATGATGAAACTCTTAGAAATCTTCCCTCTACTATTTATCGTATAAAATTGAGTAAAATCTGGTGATTTTGATTGTGCAACTTCTACTGGAGCCGGTTCCGACTTATATGGACTGGCTCTTATGACTGAACCGTAATATATCTTGATCTTCGAGCATCTCAGTCCAGATACACCATGAGTACGTCATATTTTTAATTTGACCGAAATATGTCGAATCTCCTTGAGTTACGGCATATATACCTCCATTGTGAGTTAAAAACAGCTCGAAATTATTTCTATGTTTATCAATCGCATCATTAGCTCGTGTAACACAACTTGTTGCAACTTTGCGAATCGAGCTGTTATATGTTTACTCAGTGAAATAAATATAAATAAAATACTATTCATATGTAGAAAAATATTTGAATAAACAAATTAACTTTTTAGCTTAAGGACAAAAAAATTACAGAACAAACAACTCTCACTCAGTGTTTAATAAATATATAAATAGTTGGTATCAAGGCATTAATTTACATTTTTTCCTCATTACTAACATCTTAATATGCAGTTTTAATAAAAAGTGAAGATACTAGAAGAAAAAAGATATGCAGGCATTATCAAACTTTATTCTTGTAATTAAAATATTTATCTGTTTCTTAAAAGCATCAATTTTAAACAACTGTTTAACTTTATTTTTGTCAGTAATAAAATTCCATAATGAGATTATCTTTATTCGATGAATTTTAGTTTCATTCCCAGTCATTTTATTATAGAGCGCAATAAAGATAAGCCAGCAACTCTTCTTGAAAAATCACATGTGAAATACCGACAAAATGAAATAGTTAGACATAAAAGTATTATTTTCTTTGTCTACGAAATAAAGAATGAAATGGACAGAAAATTTAAGATCATTCTCTTCTATCTACGCATTTCATCATGCCGATGCAAAATACTTAAGTCTCATCCGTTTGATGAGTGATTCTTTTTTCGAATTCGTTTCCAATTTTCAAGTTCATTATCATTCGAAAACGTTTCAAATAGCAATGACATCATGATGCACTCTAAGAAAAGTCGTTTTTTTACCAAACCCCCGAAAAAGGTTCGTGAGATTTGAAAAAGCGTCCAATTGCATCCAAAGACTAGAAAAATGATTCTTCAGTTCTACGAAACCTTTAAAAGTTCTTCCTGTGGGCACACGGGAAGAACCTTCTCCTCCGAAACCTTTTTTTAAGTTCCGTACAGCAGAAAAAAGCTTCGCAAGAAAATGCGAAACCTTTAGAGTTTCATATTCAATTTCAATGGTTTAGTACGCAGTCATCGGGGTTTAGTAAAAAGCCATTTGAATTTAATTATAAACTCTAAAGGTTTCGTATTTTCTTACGAGACTTTTTCTGTTGTACGGAACTTAAAAAAAGGCTTCGGAGAAGAAGGTTCTCCCCGTGTGCCCGGGGGAAGAACCTTTAAGGGTTTCGTAGAACTGAAGAATCGGTTTTCTAGTCTTTGGATGCAACTGGACGCTTTTTCAAATCACACTAACCTTTTTCGAGGGTCTGATAAAAAACCGATTTTTTTAGAGTGTGACCTCCGGACTATCGACATACACGAATATTCCTTTTGTTTTCTTATAATACAATCCATGTTGCTACTAAACGGTGTACTCAGTTATCGTTCTTAGCAGCTGAATGTTCGTGCCTGTTTGAGACTAGCATATAATAATCGGTTTCAAATTTTGAGGGATACTGTTAGAACTCAAGGACTCTTAAAATATATTCAGATCTTAAAACTTAAGCATCGGGGCAAAGTAATCAACAGAAAGCAATAAAAGTAGATGTTTTATTACTAAATCAAGAATTATATTGGTTGAACTGTACGCACATTATATATTCTATTTAATTTCACTTGTCAAACAGAAACAGTTCCTCTTATGCATTGAATATTTATAAGCTTCATTGGTAAATGATTGCAAATTGAAACGATTGTCAATGATCATCTACACAAACTGAAAATGTTATGGATCAAATAGATATCGCACAAGGTATGACCAATGTATGTGACGAAACTATCAACATAGTTGAAAAAATGCAACTTCAAATATATATGACTAGTCATCTCAAGTGGTTGGTCTTTTTCAGAGCTCATTAGTAACACTAAAAATTACGTTTTTGAAGTAAAAAATCTTCAATAGATTGAGACATCACATGCAACATTCTTACCTTAAACTTTCAAATGAGCATGATGTAAAATATTTAGATTTACTGCCGAACAAAAAAACTTTGAACTCATAAAAAGTTACAAATGTCTTTTTCTCACAAGAGAGTTTAAAAGGATTGACGTATGCTGTCATTCATCATTTTCCAATGGATACTGAATCTGGAACAATCAGCAGTTCTTATTCAGAACTATTTCTTACAACATCATTTTTCCGAGGAGCAGAGATCTCATTTTTTGTTGTCGCAGCTTCTATCTTCGATGATTCTCGAGGACTGAGAAACATCCTGTTGTAATCATCGTACCGTTGTTCAATTTCATCATGTGTGAGTCCGAACTCTTCTAGTGTATAGGTATTGCGCCCTTGCTTGCCTTGAGGATTATCACGAAGCCATGTCAGCATAGCCTGCTCAAAATCTTCTGACCACGTGAGTCCGAAATGATCGTAGATGTGATGAACGGTATCAATTGGCTGTTCCACAAGATCGTCGTAGAGTACGTCGAAAACGGAAACATGTGGATGAGCACGACGAAATTTCACCATACGATTAATTTGAACATCTGTCGCACGCAATCGGCGTTCCACAACCATTTCTCTATCGACCACCGCATCGTGCTTACTGCTATCGAAATAAATGCTCGCAAATGCCAGTCCCAAGCGAATCGAGGAAGGCACCACATCATGTAGTTGGCGGTGAGTCATGATGAGTGAGACAGAGGGATAATGACGTAGCAAAGTGTCAAGATTGAATATATGGTAAGGAGTTTTCAAGAGCCAGTGTGACTGAGGCGCATCAGCACTATTTAACATCTGCATAAATGTTTTGTGATACTCATAGACAAAGTCCTTGTTTGAATCGTTGTAAAACCAAGTTGCAAGTTCCGTACTATCATGAGGTTCCAGATGAGGCACTAGAAGACCACCTTGATAAAGAATGAATACATCTTCCTCATATGTGTAAGAAGGATGAGAGGCGCTACGCTCTCGATCGTATTCATCAAGTCCAAAGCCTTTCAACTCCTCATTTAACTTGTTGGCAATGATGTTACGTCGTGTTTGTGCAGCGATATCCGAGCGAGCAAGTGGTGGGACCGGGTACATCATGTCCAGTAACGCAGGAGCTCGACATGCGGGATCACAGGCAAGCAAATTGTAGAGAAGTGTAGAGCCGGTGCGGTGCGGCCCGCACAAAGCGAATAATGGAGGCATGGGATGTGCTGCCGCTTGGAGTTCCGGATGGGTGGCAACATAGTTAAGCACTTTCTTGCAATTCGTGTAGTTCTGTTCTACTGACGTACAGAATAAGTGTCGACCGATCGGTGTCAGTCGACCATTAGCTAGTACAATGCCAGCAGTCAATTGAAACGCGTGCAAGATCTCAGTATGGAAACTAAATCTTGCTTTGGCTTCATCGCTAAGGTCATCTTCGCATAGAGTCACATTTGTACGAAGAATTAAATGTTCCACAGTGTTATTTGTATGCTCATTGGGTATATCACAGGCAGTTTCCTTTTCCATGTTCTTGTAATAGGCTTCAGAAGTACTGCGTTGTATTTTTTTCTTTTCTGTCTAAAATATACCTAGCAGACTTTGTTCTTAGTTATGTTCAGGTCACATTTCTCATGGAAAATAAGATGTTTCAAAAATCTTGGAGGATAAAAACTTAAATAATTCTTGAACAGTTCAAACTATTTGTTTTATTTTGCACTGTTAGGGAAAATCTTTATACTCATGAACATTAGAATGAATTTTGCTTTATTGATAGCCAAATTTTAACTATCAACGATTGTAAAATGAAGTCTGCTCATTTAATTTGATAAAAAAATGTGAAAAGAGGGTACTATTAAAAAATCGGCAGAAGAAGTAGTCATATTTTGCTCAGAATCGCGGTTGGCGATAGTTTGTGACTGCATAGGCAAACAGTTCACATTCTGAATATTCCATAGTAATGAGAGAAGAAAAAAGTTAATCAAGTACATACTGCTAATGAAATTGTGTCATTATTATCCGAGTGATGACTATTGGCAAAGATTGTTCAGTAAAATACTGAATTATAACAAAATGAATGGCTCCTCGTGTTTTGACGATGAAGTACATTAGTTTCCCGATGCCATCTCTACTAGTATGAGGATTAAAAGAGGGTTATCCACGAAGGCTACTAAAGGTCAGATTAAAATAACAATAAGATGCCTTCAAAGACTCTTTATAGAACGCCTTTTTTCAAATATTTGAAAACAATAAGCTTTTGTTTTCAGTGTAGTGTGCTCACTTAAAACTGAGGACATATAAAAATAATTAAGTGAAACAAACCTAAAGAATTCGGAATAAAATCATGAAAACTCATGGATGTCGCTTAAATTATTTAAGAAGTATGCAACTTTTATTCTCCGGGACTTTTGGAACAGTTTGCATGGTAACAGTTTGGTTTAATGAATAGTCTTTAGAAATATGGCACATGTTTTTCATGCGTTTGATAGAAAAATACTCACAGTACACAACTTGACTATTTCATCAAGGAACTCATCACAGCAAAAATGCAAACAATTAACACCTCTCTCTGTATCTGGTTGCAGCAGGCTAATCTTTCTCATTTCTTATCTCCATCACTGAAGAAAAAGCGCACTCTCATTAGATAAATATGGTGATAAACTAGTGCATGACAGTTGCAATATGAGATCTTATTATACTGATATGCGCAATTTTTTCTTTCACTTTCTTTAGAACATGCGACAGGCATGACAAGTCTTTTTCACTAATGAATTCCGTTTTAATACCCTAGAAAACATATTTTAATTACTATCGAAATATATGCATCAATCCCACCGTTCAGATATTGTAGATGGTGTGGGCTATGCATGTAGTTGAGTTTTCAGTAGGGATATCTGTGTAAGTGCGTGTGAGTGAAGAGAAGATCAGCACTCACACTCGCAGAATGGACTGAAAAATGGGACCAGTAGCAATCCTTACAAGTATTACAGCTGATAACTTAATATTTTGTATAATTATGGCTCTCACTTGATGCTGATTATCTGTGCTTATTTAGCTGGTTCTGCTCGAAAATTTTTAAAGAACAGGTTTTTGACTGCATTTTTTCACAAAACTCCGCGTTTCTGCTCAGATCATCTTGAAAATTCCAGTTGTCTTCATTGTTTCTGTTGTGAAATACAGAATTTAAAATTCTGTTTTGTGAAAATGCGAATTTTGGGCTTGAATTAGTATATCATGACAGGCACAATGAAAAACGCGGAAACTTTCACAATAACCTAATTTCGTTGAAACCATTGTTTTCGCAAAGTTTCAAGTCAAAACTAGAAAGTCAACATTCAACGTGAGCTGAAGGTGAGTGCATGGTTTTGTTAAAAAATTCAGTAAAAATTCGATAGCATATGAACGAAGATCTGAAAAAACCAAATCATTCCAGGCTTTTTCAACGCTCTCCAATTCTCATCAGATGAACATAGTAGAAATTTATCTATGGTTTATGCTTAGAAAAAAAAACAATCATTGTAGCAGTATAAAATTCATGTATTTTAGCTTGTGTTGTCTATCAGCAAGGATTGGAAAATTTCATCAATCTAAAAGATAAGTGTTTATTATACAAATAGCTCGAAGCTTATCTGCATGGTAGGTTATATTTGCGACGTTGTATCTCAATAAAGGTTCAAATTGCTATCTATCCAAGATGGATGATGACATGTGCTATGAGATAGTAAATTAAAATTAAAAAAAACTGCGGCAAAAAATGACGAAAGAATGACGTTATTCACTACTCATTATTGCTTAGTCTCTTACGAAAAGCTTTTTGAACCTATTGAAGTAGAGAGAATCTTAGTCAGTCTGAAAGATCTGTATGATATATGTAAAAATGCAATGTTAAATAGTTGTATCATGTCTAATAAATACATTTAAAGCTTCAAATTAAGACATAAACTTTACTTCTAGTACCCTTTTAGTGATATTCACCTATTTTACCTATTTCGTGGTAACTGCTGCAAGACGGCTACTTGCTTGCAATCAGAATTCAAGATGAAGTTAAATGCAGGACCATAGTAGCCTCTATGTTAGTTACGATATAGGTTCAGATCTCCCAAACCGATTTCGTCGCCTGTCTGTCCACTATGATCTGCATCCGAATTCCTTACTCTAGAGTTTCAGTATGATGAGAGCACCACGAGTTTTCTGTAAAGATAGCTATACAGCAAGGAGAAGAGGTTTTTTAAAGCATTCGAATATTTTCTGAACGAGCATCACATGATTATAGTATCGTGTGTTCAGAACGATACAGATCCAATGATTGAAGCACTAGAATAATCGAATAACCGTCAATTGAGTACTGTAGTTTTAAATCAGATTCGTGAGAGAACTTTAAAAGTTATGGAGGCAAGTGCAGCAAAGAAGGTGTAGAATTTCTCGAAAAGGCACATGAAGTCTATATTCGCACTCTTCAATTACCTTTCAATAATACAACTTCATAGACGTTGTGATGAAAACATGTCCACGCCTTCTCTTAACATCATAGGCAAAATATAGTTTTGCCGTAAAGATCATAAGACCAAGTTAGACTTGACTAGATCGATAAAAACTTTACAAACAGATAACAATCGTCAGGAGTGAAAATGAGCATCTAGAACTAGTGAAGAACATTCCTGAAAACGTTAGAAAAAGCATAGAAAGAGCTGTTGCATACGGTGAAAGTAAGACATGCTGAATTGATACAACAGAAGTGAAGTTTATTAGAGAGAGAAGAGCACTACCACAGAATAGAAGAACAAAGAATTTGCATCCACATTTCACTGATTTGCGTTTTCCTCTGACTGTTAATAATAAGGCACTTCTATTTGTTGAAGAAGAATGTTAAATTATGGTTCCGAATTTATTCGTCTTACGAGGGAACCACCCGAGGTGTCAAAAAGCTTTTCAGTCGGGGATATGATGGTTAGATAGGGCATAGCTAGGAGTGATATACCCTAAGTTAGTTCGTGCCCAAGTTGCTTCTAGCAGGAGTTATGAAATGTGAAATTTAGGTATAAAAATGAATCAGGGAAGGTTTTCTCCACTATTGTAAGGACAAAACATAGTGTTATTCGNAGTACAATTTTGTTAAAGCAGAGCTAGTAATGACTAGTGCAGTATAGAAATAAGTTTCTCGAACATATATTTCAATGGTCTAAACGATCGGTAAGTAATACATTGTATGCATGCTTGAATCTAACCTTTCACTTTATAATATATTTATATCTAGATCCGTCCGGACTAGTTCACTGTATCTCAGTATAGCGAGTCGTGTGAAACGTTCCCATGACCATATACTTTTTCTACTCTAAATCGATTTCTGACGAGCGTCATGTCAACTGGATTTGTCTAGTCTTTTTCTCAAAAAGCCCTCGTCCAGGACGAGTCTGTAATTAGCAAAAGACTAGACTATAGGTTAACTATCTATGAATGGAGTTCAGCGACTGAGTGAATTTCGGACTAGTCCCGGACGAGGACTTTTTGAGACTTTACTAAACAGGTCGACCCGACGTGACTAGAAAAAATACTCGACATTTAACCTGTCGCTTGCTTACTTAGGTAAAAATGGCTTTCTTTGACCAAGGATTCAAATCCAGATTTTCGTCATTATTCACTTAGTGAGTAACTGGTAAAGTAGCAGCCTCTGCAACGTTAAGTTCTTACTCCTAACTAAGCCAGTTTCGACCAATTTCAGGCGAATTTCAGGTCAGCTCTAGCCCATTGCAAGAATTGAAATTTGTGCACTTCTACCACAAATAGAATAGTGTTCCACGAACGGCTTCAACCTTATATAAAAGTCTTCGAAAGTAACTAAAGTGATTTCATTTTTTGACCGAAAATTTTCAAAACTTTTCATTTTTGTTTTTTTCTTCTTCTCTAGATACACTTTCAAGTATCATCTATCTGCGAAACATTTTTTTAAATATTCATATGGAACTTTAAAAGTGTCAGATTGTTTCTCTAATTCTGAAATATGAGATGCTTAGAATCGCCTATACTTCTCAATCAGACTTTATCAAAGTGAGATCAAACTTTTTTCTTCTAATAAAATATAATGTTTGCAGTGGCTACGTTTTTTTTTCACTTTAAAATATAATCTACCGCTAATTTTTGTTACAGTGTACAAAAAAGCCTACATTTAAAATTTACGAAAAATATATGCGTTTTCAATGATATTCTTTGAGTTTTCATCTTGTTCATTTGAACAAGAGAACATAAAAATAAGGCCTCCCAAACAGTGTCAAGTATTTCTAAAAGATGATGTTCAGCCGTACTAAACATACTCTTTATTTATAGAAATCTATCTACTTTAAAGTTTTCAATATTTTCGAATGAGCCGTTCTCCAAAAGTGCTGCAAACACGAGGAAGATGGAGCCGCTCTTAGAAAAGTAAATATTTGCCGGAAATCGAAATACCACAATATTTTAAAAATAAGAAAAAAAATTGTTATTACCTTGTTTTGAGAAATCTCACCATTGTACAAGCTTTCAGAACTCAAGACTATTTTTACTTCCTAGTTCAGAAAGATTTCAACAGCTGACCTTATGAAAAAATCGAATGATCCAAAACATTTGTTTGTGGATCATACATCGAAAAATAAAAATGTCTTAAAGACATTTTTTTTCTCGAATATTGACAAAATCACCTCAGCAAGTTTCTTGTTCAATAGTTCGATTTAAATAAACCAATGATCGAAAGAAAATTTTCATATTAAAATCAAGTTCAACATAAAAGTCTAAATCGAATAGTATATGTTTTGATATTAAATTTATTTCGACAGCAAGATCTATATATTCTTCTGAATAATTGTTCAAAATTTGTTACCGTATTTTCCCGCATCCTCACATCCCAGGGAAGGGATCTTCTTTCATGATAAAATATCATTCGTTGAAATGTATATCATTCGAGTTAGGCTTTTATGATGAACTCGGTTTTAATATATCAGGAGTTTTTTCGATTATTAATTTTTCGACTTAATTGATCGAATAAGAAACTATTTTACCAAATACATGCAAAAATGTATTTTCATATTTGAATAATTTTTGAAAAAATTTTCATAAATCTATTATATTGTCTTATAGAAAAAAAACCAATTGAACCATTGATATTTCTATAACATTCTCAATCATATATTTATTAGTGTAGAAAGACAATTTAGCAAGTGTTTATATGTATTGTGTAGAGAGAATAAATATGCCTGAAATGACAGTATTCACTATTAAAAATATTTATAGATAGAAGAAATTTATTCGTACGAATACTTAAATATAATTTTGTGTCGAGATATACAAACCGATGAGTTCTATCGATTTTTTATCATTTATAAAAATAAAATTTATCATATAACACTATATGTAGAATAAAATAATGTTTGATGTTGTATATATTTATATTTAAAAGTTTGTAGGAAGTGATAGGTTTTTCATAGTTTCATTCAATTTCTTTTATATTTTTGATAGAGAATCGTAATGATACATTTATTAAAACAATATTGAAACTTTAATGATATGTTTGTGGTGAAATATGATAAAACTAGGTGATGTGATGTTGAATTAATAATTTTGAATAAATCAATATATTAATTAACATAAACAATTTTAGTTTTATTTAAAATAATTTAATAAAACAAAAATTGATAAAACTGAGTTTAAAAATAATCGTTTTTCTTTGTTAATAGAGTAAAGAAAAATTGAATAAATAAATTTTTTTATTATAAATACAAGACAAAGAGTTTAATTACAAATATTGAAAAAAGATTAGAATGAAAAACATTTATTTAAATAAAAAATAAATAATATTGAATGAATAATAATATAATTGTTTGATTAAAAATGTGTAATTATTATTGAAGATGATTTTTCTTTTGATTTATAAGCTCCAACAGGTAATAAAGATTTTTTAAAAGTTGTATTAATAATAGCAGCAGCCGAAGCATACCATGCTAAAACTGCAGTAATTATTCCGAACCATCCTCCAATATTTGTTATAACAGGTATATTACCAAGAGTTCCAATAATTAAAAATAAAAATGTGAAATTAAGTACAGTAAATATAGCAAATATCGCTTTTGAAACTCTCCAAGCAGCAAAATTCATATAAAGAGTAAAAATAAACCATGATAAAAGAAAAAGACCAGTTGCTTTTTTTGTTTTATTCACCGCTTCAATTTTCGGTACAATTAAATAAACATAACCTGCAAAAGACATCCAAAAAGCTCCATAACTTGTAAATGTTGTTGCACCAAATGTATTATTAACTCTATATTCCCACATTCCAGCAGCAAATTGTGCTGCACCACCATAAAATAATGCAACTGGTAAAACAACTGATTCTAAATGAGGATCAATTAAATTTGAACCAGCATTAAATACTGAAAGCATAAATGTTGTTAATGCAAATGCAGCAAGACCAAGAGGACCAGGATTTCCAATAGCATTTGAAGGATTCGGAGGTTGAAGTTGAGGTTGAGGTGAAGGAACATTATGTAACGTAATTAATCGTCCTAATATTAATTCTAATTGGTCATCTGTTAATAAATAAGTTTTTTTCGATTGTACAGAATAATCTTCAATATTATTCATTTCAAGAACAGAATCTGATTTTTGTTTGTTCATAATTGATGTATTTGACGACATTTTTTTTTTTTTTCGAATAACCTTAATAGAAATGATTCTTGTTATTCAAGGTATCTTGTAATATTTTGTTTATCTCATGAAATGACTATGTAATATTGTACTATGAAATTAACAGCGCAAATGGCTATAAGAAAAAAAAAAACTTACGCCTCAATAATTATATGATTGACGAATGTTTCATTTGATTAGTGATAAAATTTATATTATATATGATAAAAACAAAAACAACTGTTAACATAATGTTCATTCGTTTTGATAAAGATATTATGTCGCAGTAATAATTGTTAGTATCAAGTATCTCTACATATCATTATTATATTTAAAATTGTCTTGAAAATATCAATTAATAACAAAAACAATTTTATTTTATTTTCAGATATTGAAAAACGTATGCAAAAATTCACTGGCTTTTTTTTTCATGATTATAAATATTAGATTTATATATGATTAATAAAAAATATTTCTTTTCCTTTAAAAAAATCAATATATTTCCTGATATTATCACTTAATATATATCGAAATAAAAAGTTAAAGTGAATATTATTAAATGAACGAAATGAAAACGAAAAATATTGTAAAATAATGCTTATCAATCGTCCTTAGAAACAAAATTTATGATAATAATAATGAATCATATTATTATCATTGTTTTTGTTTATAATTGTTGTTTATTGTTTCTATAAAACGAGTTTGACAATGTAAAACAATGAAACAAAATATAAGATAGATGAAAACAAAAAAAAAAGAACAATATAGAAAGGGCAAATGTCGTCGGGAAAAATTTTTTCAGCTCCTAACACATTATGTTGGATAGAGAGAGGATAAAAAATAAAAATAAAAATATAATTATAATTATCTTATATAAAAGATATACGAAAAGTTTGCACTAAAAGTTTAGAACAGAAACGTGTCCAACGACCGCTGCGCATCATCAAATTTTTGCGCAGAACGGTAAATACGACGAGTTTTACGCATGTTTACTTTGAGCACAAAATAGTGAATATTATTTTCATTTTTATAAACAGAAAAAAAAACAAACAAAACAAAACAAATAAAAGAAGAAATATGTTTTACTTTATTTTCGAAATGATAAACTAAATTATAGAGATATGGAAACAAAAAACAAGAAAAACAAATCATTTTGATTAATTTACTTTCTAAATTATTTTACTGTTACCTTACAGTATAAGGTGAATATTAAAAACAAAATACATTGAAGAGAGAGAGAAAGAAACGAAAAACAAACGAAGAGAATCAGTGAAATTATGTTAAAGTCCATTGAGTAGAGTAAAAAATTATTCGTTGACTGTAAAAAGATAATGTTGAGATATATTATCTTAGTAGAATCTTCAAATTTTCAATCAATCTGATTTTTGTTATATTCATTATTTCGTTCATATAATTAGAACTTAACTTTGTTTATTATTCATTTATCTCCTAACTGCTAATACTATCTCTCTTACATCAATATTTGTCTCATGATTTTTCATGATTAATGATTCGTAAATAGAATTTTCTTTCTTCAATCATCATTTTCAGTTTATTCATTTCTTTCATTTTCTATGTAAATTAAAATGCTTTCTATCTAATCAGAACATCTTATCAATGAAAAATCACATTTTTCTATGTAAAACAAAACACTCGAAAAAAATCTGAATTTTATAGTAAAAAAGGTAATAAGTGGAATTTTGTCAAAATTCGATTTTAAACAAAAAATATTGAAGTTTTTTAATCCTTTTCTCCTAGACCGTACGGTCGATTGAGTTGAAAATTTTTTCATCAATACTTTGATGAAATTGGTGTGCGTATATTTTTTTTTTTTTTGTTCTTGAAAATAACGGGTGGGGAAAAAGTTTTGCATTAATTTTGTTTTTAATATAACTTTGCAACGGAATGTCGTAGAGACTTGATTTTGTTTTTTGTTAGAAAGAGCAAAGTGTCTACCACAAAACTATATAAAAGAGTTTGATTGGAAACGTTTTTTGAAGGCGATAGAGGTCTTAGAACTATAGGCCCCGAAAAACTGTTCCGCAACTTTTTTGAATTTAGAAAAAAAATTGTTATAGTTAGACAGGTTATCTTTTTATTCGTTCGATTCGACTTTTATTAATAGCTCAGGCAATACATTCGCATTAGATTTGTTTCTGTTACAGCTTCGCCACAAGATATTTTCACGTCTGGTTTATATATTTCATTAAAAAAAGAGCAATGATTAAAGTACAAAAAATATTTAATGACAAGTTGAAAAAACACCTTCACACCACATTTTTCGAAGTTTACTACGAATATCAAACATCATGTCTTGTAATTATCTTTGGATAATTCGATATATAGTTGAATAACAACAACCTTCTCTTTTAAAAAAATTCCATGTGGTTTTCAAGTCACAACATGCAGCATCATGATAAAAATTTACGAAACGTAATCTAAGTGTTTCTCGTTTGTCCTTCTTCATTTCGAACAGAAACACATGACAATTGAACCAATATAGGTACATATACTATGAATCATTCTCTGTCTAATAGAAAAGATTGAACAGTCTACGATATTCCCACGTCGTATAGAAAGAAAAAGGAAATCAATGAACAACGATTGTCACATCCATTCATGATAGAAATTTTTTTTTCTAAATTTAAAAAAGTTGCGGAACAGTTTTTCGGGGTCTATAGTTCTAAGACCTCTATCGCCTTCAAAAAACGTTTCCAATCAAACTCTTTTATATAGTTTTGTGGTAGACACTTTGCTCTTTCTAACANAAATATGAATAGTCTTTATTGAATTCTATTTTTATTGTGGAAGATGAATAGTAAAGACTGCAACAGAGAAAAGCAGCGTCTATTGATAGACTGCTTTCGCACACTAGACTCAACCCAAAAGTTTACTTCAGATGCTAAAACAGAATTTTATGTAGAATTTATTTATACATTATTTTGCTCAATAAACATTTCCTACCTCTGTGTAACATCAAAATTGCTGCTTGCCATGAAAACGTATAAATACTCAGCATTTCGCTAGAATTAAGAGTCATTTTTATTTGTTAAATAGCTTTCTATACGCTATTAAAACATACTAAGAAAAGAAGAGAAGTCTATTTTTTACTTTATAGGCATCAAACCGAGCTTTTGCGTAAAACTCTACTACCTGAAAGCGACATATAAAGTATGCCTATAACTATTGGGTCGATGATGTTTTTAAAATATTCTGCAGCTTTTCAATAAGAGACAAAATTAGAATGTTCAATTAGGCACAGCATTTGATACACTAAAGAAAATTGTATGCCTTACGTGAAAAAAATTAAAACTTGAGATTAATCTAATGTGGCAAAACTTGATTTTTAACCTTCATGATTTTGTAGATGAGCAGTTGGCATTTTTCTAGTATTCAGCGACTTTGGTGTTTCGAAAAACAATCTAACGGTGATTTAAAAGAATGTTTCATTCAGATCGACAGAAAATTCTATATCTTTTAACATTGGCACGGAACCGTTTGGTTGAGTTTAAATTGGCAAAAATAGTCTGTTGAAAACCTGCAGTATCCCTTGTTGCGACCTTAACTAGCGTTCATGTGTTCATCTAAAAGTGAAACGGCTACTGTCAGTAACAAGAGCTCAAAAAGCAAAATGCTATAGTGCTTGCAGTGCATGTCTGTCGAAAGTGACTTCGGCTGCAACAGTTGATATTGAAAAGGGCTCAACAAAAGAGTTTCTTGAACAGTTAATGGATGAAGAACTGACAAAAAGAAAGACTACACCAATAACAAAAGATGAAGTCGATATTCATATCGATTTCAAATTAGGCAAAGACTGTCTAAATTCGTACTCATTCTGAGATGAGTTGGAAAATATTTTTCCAGATTTCTCCATATTGGCATGTCACATGTATATAATGCCACAGAATTCAGCTGCTGCCGACAGAGAGTCTTTGGTAGCAGATGAAATTATCAACCAAAGATCTAATTTACAACCCACAAGTGTTAGTAGTATTTTATTTCATCGTTCAACAGAGAATGACAATATTAAAGGATGACTGAGGACGAATTATATTCTTTTGTTGCTATTCAGAGAAAGAAACTGGACGGGGAATCGAGCGAGGCCCCGGGGCGGGGAGAACTTTGCACGAGGCGAAGCGGGGCGAGGGGGCGAAAAAAAGTAAGGTCGGGGTGAGGCGAGGCGAGACGAGGAGCAAAAATTCTTCCCCGTTTCGAGCTCTGGCTCATACTATAGAGAAGATTCTGTTCATATGACCGAAAAATACATAGTACTGAAGACTTGCACGAAGGCATGAAAAAAGAGTGGAAAGAAGAAAATGGAATGAGAAAGTATTAGAAGAGTACAGTTGAATTAATTATACCAAAAGGTTAATTAGATATCTGTAATATGCTGGTGAAAAGGTGGTCATCTCTAATTGACTGTGTGTAAAAGGATGATTGTTACTGATTATCGGTCTTTCATTTCGATGAATTTTTCATATGGCAGACACTCAATTTGTAATGGTGCTGAAGCTGGATGAATTCGATGCTGCGAAAGATTATAATGTGTTACTATTCTAGGTATTTCCTTATATATAAGAAATTCTATTGATCTCTAGAGTATCAGCTAGATATCTTCCCTGGTGACGGGGATAGAGTTTTGAAAATTGTGGGATGTTATTCGTGTGGTTGCAAAATATTTTATATCAAAGTTAGAGCCTTCTCAGATCTGTAATAAAAGAGAAGAAGACATTTTTTCAGCAAGTACCTACGCTTTTGTCTTACTCTGTAACTAACAAGAGAGAACATCAGCCCTGAGTCGAAAGCAAAACGAATAAAGAAAAGAAGCTTGCCATGTAATTAATAAGTGGTAGAGAAGAACTGTTGCCAAATAATTTTGATACCTCAGACAAAGCACACGAGTACAAATAATGGGAGCATACCATAACGAAAAGAGGCCACTGATCAGTATTCTGTACATTAATACAGTGAAAATACTATGATATTAGAAATTATTTTTGCCTAAATAACTC